AAAAAAAAAAAAAACATAAACTGAGCCTGGTGGCATACACATGTAATCTCAGCACTCAGGAGACTGAGGCAGGAGGATCATTATGAGTTGGAGGCCTTCCTGGGCTACAAAGTGAGTTCAAGGCCAGCCTGAGCTGATTAGTGAAGCCATGTCTCAAAAAGGCAAAACAAAGGGCCAGCTAAATAGCTCAGCGATTAAAGCCTGCAAGCAGGCTTTGGGGTGGGGGTGGGTTCCCCTGGGTCTGCTGTGCTGGCCCCTCCCCCAGGGCAATTGAGACTGGGCATAGTGATGTGCACCTGTACTCCCAGCTCTTGGGAGGATGGGTAAACAGGCGGGTCACTACGAGTCCAATCTAGTAGTGATACCCTAAACACCCTGTTGACCCTTCCCTAAAAATACAAAAAAAAAAAAAAAAAGAAAAAGAAAGAGGTACCAACCTGGTGATAGAATTCATCATTTTATGGTTATCTCATTGTGGGATAACTTTTCAGTTCATCCATAGTCTTTTTTCTTTTAGGATGTTGGAAATTTGAACTTTAACGGCAACTTCAAATGGAAAAGTAAAGTAAGAACATTTAAGTTCAGACTTAATCTTTTACTCACTTTCTGACTTTAAAACTTCTCTAGTGAAAGAACCAGAGTTGTTCAGTTTATCAGAGTATTTGCTTTTCTAAGTAGCTACCTTTCAGCCATTGTTTGGCTCAGGAAAAAGAGCTAATAAAAAGTTATGCAATAGGTAAAAATCTTTCCAGTTATCTTTTCCCCACTTGGAAGGAAATGGTCTTTCCTTCCCGTAGCTTGGCCTAAGCCCTTTTTGGCCTAAGCCTTTTCTTCTCATTTATGCCTCTACTATTTATGTGTGATACTTAAATTCATTCAATAGAAAATTGTCAGAGTATCCAGCATTTAGTATTTCTGACAAAACCTAGTTAAGCAGAAAAGCTTTTGATTGTCATAGCAACTCAAGAGAAAAAAAAAATTAACACTTTTAGCAGTGCTTATAGTGTTTCCAAGCAGATACAAGATAAGGTCTCCCCAGGAACCACCAGATTTTTGTAGTTTTCCAGTTAGAAATATATAATCAAGGGACTAGATATCCCAGATGGAATACATATCATTCATAGAGGACTTCTAAAACTCAAAACCAGTCTTGAAAACTACAAAATTTTGGCCTCCAGAATCTAATGCAGTCACTGTAGTATTCAAAGTGATTGTATTCAAAGTGAAGCACGGGTAATCTGAACGAAGTGTGTTCATATGTTGCCAGCTATTCTAACAAATTTGAGTGCCTCTTATAGATCTTTTTTTTTTTTTTTTTTTTTTTTTTTTGCGGAACCGGGGATTGAACTCAGGTCCTTGCACTTGCCAGGGAAGTGCTTATTCCACCGAGCCATCTCCCCAGCCCAAAATGGCAGAAGGATTTTTTGGGGGGCCCTCAGGATACCTTCAGGTCAGGTCTGGTTTGGCTTGAGGATGATGGGATTGAACCACAGCATCCTGAGCCTAACTGCTTTGTTTCTACAGGCACTTAAACACCTGAGCTAATAGACAGGCCCCCTAGATCTTGTTCTTAAGGACCTTGTAATATGGTAAGAACACTACACACAAAAACAATTGGGCAGGGTTGTAAAATCGGTGCTATAAAAATATCAGTGCTACAAATTATGTGCTGAGGAAGAGAGGGGTACTGGAAGAGTGCAGGAGCAGGAAAGAGTGCTGCAGAAAGAAAAAAGCCTGAGGCTTAAGGAGTTAGACTACAAAATTCAGAATGAGGAGACATTGAGTTCTAACAGTGTATGTGAAACTGTAGAGACACAAGCTGTGACATCTTAGGTCATGACATGTTTTTGTGTGTCTGTAGTTCCTAGAATGAAAGGGGAAATGGCAGCAGTTGAGCACAGAGTTTTCTATACCTATTAAGTAGGAATATGACATGCCCATTCTGTGTGTGTCTGTGTGTATGTGTGTTTATATTATTCTAGTAGCAGTATGGAGAGAAGTTAGAAGTAGACAAATCTTTTGTGAAGATATTGCATTAAAGATGGTAGGGATTTGAATTAGAGAATTACAGAGGAAGGCTAGATATTCAGGAGTTGTAATTTGCAAAGTTTGGCTTAATCTATAAAAGTTTGTTGCTTATAAACATGCATAGGTCAGTAGGTGAAGTAGTGCCATACTCTGTACAGCCACACAGAGACCCATGCTGTTGTTGATTTCACTTTTGTACTGCACCATCTGTGCTGTATTGGTAATTGTTTTGGTTCATCTTGGTAAGGAAAGGAGAGCTGAGACAGTATGTGCCAAGTCTGTGCTCATTGTGTCATTTCTGCCTACAGCACATTGCCCAGAAGTAGACATGTTTGTAACTGAAGGACATTCAGAGAAGCTTTTGGAATGTTGGGTAAGCTCCCCTGTTTCTGTCCCACAGGAGGGACTTGCATAGTTGCTTCATTCCTGAGATTATAATTTCCTCACCTGTAAATTAGGAATAGTGGTAGTACCAACTTTTCACAGTACCTGCAGATAAAATGCTGTTATCACTAGAAAATGCCAACATTGTATCGGATGCAATAAAAGAGGCAACCTTCAAGTTTGGTCCTGAAATTTTCAGTTAATAATTGTATCTCATTGGAAAGTCAGAAGCAACAATTAAAAATAGGATGAAAGAGCCAGCAAGATAGCTTAGCAGACTTAAGTGCTTCTTTAGACAAGTGCAGGGGCTGGGGTTTGATCCCTGGCACCACATGCCACGCTGGCCCTGCTCCCCAGGCATGCTGAGCCAGAAACTGAGTCCAGGTGTGGTAGTGCATGCCTGTAATCCCAGAGCTGGGGAGGCTGAAAACGGGAGGATCACTACTATAAAGTTATAAATTTTTAAAATTTATTTATTTGATACAGGGTCTCACTGTGTAGCTCAGTCTCACAGTGATCCTCCTGTCTCAACTTTCCCAGTGCTGGGATTACAAATGTGTACCACCACACCGGGTTTTGGTGGCTGGCACGGCCCACCTGGGGTTCTAATGCTTCTATCTTGTAAGTTGCTACTGCAGTTCATTTGTATCATTCTTGCCACTGCTGATAAAAATGCAGGAGTGTCAGTGTGGTTTTCCATCGCCTGACATAGGTGGACTTCATAATTCTATTGCTGGTGTACATCTACTGTTAAAAAAGCCTATGTAGCCAGGGAGACGGCTCAGTGGAATAAGCGCTTCCTGTGTAAGCGCAGGGGCCTGAGTTCAATCCCTGGTTCCGCAAAAAAAAAAAGAAAAAAAAAAAAGCCTGTGCTATTTTTTATGACTCATGGAAAAATCATATGGTAGCGTGATACCCTCTCCTCAGGTACCAGTACTTATAATTTTCAGTGTGTTGTGTTAAAACAAACTTCTATTTCTGGCTATTTTTCTTTTTGATTTGGACCTAAAATTGGAAGTCTATTTTTATAAAACAATCTAGAAAAGTCACCACTGTTGCTCTTCTCTATAACTGGGCCTGGCGTAGGGAGAGCTGGCTATTTTCACATGGTTAAACAGAATGTGTGGGTCTGCCAGCCAGCGGAGGTGGAATCTGCTCTTTGCTTTCTTGGCAAATATGTCTGGCATTGGAAGCCCTGTTTAGGACTTTAATTCTTGACTATTTCTTGTGGTCAGATACAGCATCATTCATTGTCTCTGGTGGTTTTAAAGAAATGGGAGGACCTCCACTGTCTACATCTCTTACCATCTGTAACAAGGTGTAGGTTTCATTCACCTGAGTTAAAAGCTACTGTGTCATCAAGTGAGTTTTGTAAATAACACAGTAGTGTAACAGCTCAAAACTATTAAACTGGCTGTAAATCAATGTTTTAAAAGTTAAATTTTTTAAAACAAGCAGTAAGCATTATTCAAAAAAAAGTGCTGGCTTTTGATCTTGTATCTCAAACCCATTCAGTAAGATGATTTTATTTATTAGGATGGGGAAGACAACATTTACACCAGCACCTGAAGATTTTTGTTGGGGTTTCCTAGTGTATTGTGTGACTATGCCCTCGGATTTACACCCTTTGTAAAAAAAAGACAGCAGTGATTTCCATTAACAATGTCAAGTTTTTTTTCAAAGAGACTAAGGTTGTGGGTTAGTAAGAGATTATCTCCCTGCTTCAGTTTCAAATTCTGGCTTTCAGTGTATTTGGAAAGAAACAGATTGTGAAGTAAGGATAGATGAGGCTGTAACTGCTAGCTGAGAAGCTGTATCACATTATGTGAGAAACCGATGAGGTCAGGAATAGTTGGAACAGAGACAGTTCCCTCTTTCCTCTTTTCAGAAGGTAATAGAGTGGTAGAACTGAAGGAGTCTGGGGGAGATTGGACCTTGAGAAACAGCTTTTGAGGCATTTTGAGTTCTGCATTCTTAGGAGTCAGATCCCTTTACTGTTGTATTTGTCAACATTATAATCTAATCATTATCATTTAACTAGAATTGCTATAAATAGCTACCATTTGTTACTGATTGGGTTAGGGAAATAGCTAGCATGTTAGATTCATCATGTATTCAACCATGTCTTAACACACTTAAAACAGTAGACCATAGTGCCTTCTACAGAGTGAGTGCTCACTAAGTATCAACGGGTATTATTTATTCAGCAGATACTTACTGAGCACTTACTAACTCAGGTGCACTGGAGTAAAGCTCTTCTGGTGGGGAGAACACATAGTCATCCAAAGAATTTCAATGAGGTCTGGGCTGTGAAGACATTTTAAACATGTCATGACTTAAATTGAAATGACACAGCATTGGTAGACAGGAAACCCATATTAGCATGTTATCTCATCGTCTGATATGAAGGAGCCTTTTATTCTTCATAGTAATCTTTTGATTTTTCCAAATCTTCATTTAAGAAAGCTGCGGTGTTAGTTATACATGTACTGAGAGAGCTGAAAGGATCAGGTTGTGCTTTCCTGGTCATTTTGTATCCAAGACCTGTCCTGTGCTTCTTAGGAGACGTGAACTTTATTGGAGCAGCAGAAGCAGCTGCAGTATTTGTACCACTGGATTTTGGGTGAAGGAATTAAATGTGGTTGCAACACAGGCAAAGCATTGATGGCAATTCACAGAGTTGGTTGTATATCCATGGATACTATGTCATTGGATACAAAATTTGTCCTTAGGTTTTCATAGCTATTGATGATCAAAATAGCTTTTGGTTCTGCTGCTTCATTTTGGACTTTTCATACATTGGTTTTGCTTAAAATGGGACCTGTTAGGGTAGCGTTTCAATAGACAGCATTGTAGTGACTCATGGATGGTAGTAATTTTGGCAGTCGTGTGCAGGAAGTAAGGAAGTACTAGGTAGGAAATCATCAGATGCCTTGCTCTGCAGAGCCTGGGACTCATGATGTCTTCTATTAAGCTAGAGCTCTATTTTGATTCAATCATCTGCACATGTTAATGTGTCCTGGGCCCACATGCCCTATCAGTGATGGTGAACCTTTTAAAACTTTCAGTGATAGAAATGGCTTGCTGTGTCACATATGCCACACATTCACCATAACTGACCCAGAAGCATTTGTGGAAATAAGTAACTAAAAAAATAAATAAATAAAATGAAGCATTTCCTTTCATTGTCTTCAAAACCTGAATACTTTCTTCCTTTTTTTTTTTTTTTTTTAAATTTTATTTGTGTGTGTGTGTGTGTGTGTGGCCAGCTCAGCCCACCAGAGGGCGGCGCTGGCTGGCATGTGGTGCTGGGGGATTGAACCGCGGTCCCTGTGCTTTTAGTTTGTTCTAAGTAGGTGCTTTAGACCACTGAGCCATCTCACCAGCCCCCACCTGAATACTTTCTAAATTGACTCTTCAACATTTAAAATCAGAAATTGTTTCAGTGATAGTAATTGAAACTAAGATTGTAGCCAGGCTCTGATTAGGTCTGGTCTTTCAGTTTCATAGCATATGATTTAGAGCAAATACCCATTTCAGCTAGATCATTGATTATATTATTTGTGCACAGGGAAAGATGTTTGCAACCCTTTACTTTGTAGCCTTTCATGTAATGTCTGAGATTTGGGAGGAGATAGCTCCTGGGGAACATGAAGATGGCAGAAAATGTTTGGTTGAATAGAATATAACAGCCATGAGCACCTTGTGGCATATCTACTTGAAGAAGGGCTATAATTCTAAAAGTTCTAATTGCAGAGGCTTTTCCGGCTCATTATTCTTACCATCTTATAAATAGCATCCTGATGGTCCACCAAGGTGTAATGTAATTGACAGCTTTCATGAGCTAGGAATTGTGGGTTCTGTTGTTCAGCTAAGGGTTCCTATGATGTATTGGGTTTATTGTGGCCTAATAAGTTGATGCAAGAGCACAAATTGGAAAGCATATTAGTTCTTCCCTTTCTCTGCTGAGTAAGAGTCTGAGTGACAAGAGCTGTGTTTTGATAAGGATTTTTAATTGTGACAAAAACTGAGAATTTGGACCTTGTGGATGCTGCTGGGACTGCTGGGCTGGGGCGGACCTTGACAGGGTGTAGGACTCCACTCACACCCAGTGCCCAGAGACCTTCAAGGACCACTGTGCCCCAAGCCCTGCAGACAGCAACATCCACCCACTGGCTCCAGGTCCCCAGAAGCTCAAGATCTGTTGTCCACTGCTGCTCACTCTGCCTGGCCAATCTGGATTGATTTCTCCTTCACCCAGATTACCATGGCTCCGGGAGTCATACCTCCCAGTGAATAGCCGTATTGCACATTGGTGAATAACAGTGGGTCTGCTGCAAACATGAAAGAGGACACAACATGCAAGATATCATCTTGAAAGCAACAGGAGTGGTGCTGACGAAATGTCAACACCTGCTGTTGCCCTGATCTTGGACCTCCAATTTCCAGAACCATAAGAAATACATTTCTTTATGAACAACCCAGTATTTTGCCATAGCTGTATTAACTGACAAAAATTTCATACTGTCACATTGTTAGTTTGTTTCAAGTTCTATCGATTCCATATAGGCCAATAAAAGCCTCAGGCTTTATGTGGACCTTGACAAGCTGATTCCAAAATTTAGGATGAGACTAAGGACCTAAAATAGCAACAACAAAACTTATTTTTAAGAAATAAATTACTTGATTTACAGAGTAGCCTACAGTTGTAACAGTAAGAACAGTGTGTTATTGGTATAGGGATAGCCAATGGAATACAATAGAACATAGTCATTTGTTTTGTATAAATCTATACATATTTTTTTTTAATTTTTTTTTATTTATTTGAGAGAGAGAGAGAGAGAGAGA